AATGAAAACAATGATTTTAAACATTAATTGACATTCTTCTCCAATTTCGGAAATAAATTTGATAATATGATTTGGTACAGTGGCGTAGCCAGGAACTATTTATGAGGGAGGGAATGGTTCAGCAAATTTATATATATTTAATCTTATCATTATCATTTTGTCTACTATTTGCATTGATCTCGGTATATTTAAGTCTGGTTGACATTAGTTTTTTTGACTAAGGTAAAAAAAAAAAATTAATTTTTCTAGTCTGCTTAGTTGTTAGAGAATTTGCCTATAATAATAAATAATAATAATAACAACAATTTAGGAACGAGAAATTAATATAGGAAGATAAACATTAGGAATTGCGGACGTTTCGCCCATGCCATTTCGACTCCGTCAAAAAAACCAGTCCACGGACGTTTCGTCTCCGTCTATTATTAAGATAGGACATTTAGCCTATAAATAAATAAATATTTCAAAATCTGTCTATAAAAATGTACCTATAAAACAATATTTCAACACACTTATATACAATATTATATTTTCGTTTTATACAGTTTAAACAATCAACAATATCAATAAAAATGTTTAACAAATTAAAAACTATCGGTCATACGATGTTTAATAAGTTCGATCTTTTACACAGTAAAGGAAATATTTAATTATTATGTAATAATGTTATTAAGATAAACGTCGAGTTACGATTTATTTAAATGAGATAATCAAGTGATCTACTTTTACTACTACGAAAATAGTATTCATTCAAAATAAACAATAGAATAAACCTTGTTTATATTGTTTGTAATTTAATATAATATTATGATTCTTGATGTGTTACAAAATTAAATTACTGAGCATAGGAGCGGACTGGCCTGTCGGCCATAATATATAATTTTGCCCTGCATTATTTATAAAAATAAAATATAAAATCAGACAAAAATGTATCTTATAATAAAAATAATAATAATAAGACGAATTCTAAACGCTGGATAATAATACACAATGTTTTTGAAAATGAATTCACATTAATTTGTTTTTTTTTATCGGCTTATTCTATTTTCGTATCGTTCCGATTAAATCAGTATACCGGCTTACGAGTTATTTTTATACCTGCGTCGCGCAGCACATATTTTACATAGTAGTTGATTTGAATTGTCGTTATAGTTTGGCAATGTCATTGATTATTTTAAAAGGTATATAAACTGGACGACATCGTTTTTTCTTCATATTAGTATGTAGGTATACAATAAGTCTAAACATTAATCATAATTCATAACTAATTCGTACCAAGTCATTACATATTATACAAAAAACAGAAATAAAATTAATTTCTCTAAATAATTGAATTCATGCGACATAATATTTACTAAACGTATTACGGTCATGCATGGGGCCCGGCGTAAAAACTTAATAACTACGAGACAACTAAAATTATATTGCTAGTTATAGACTATAAAAACTGAAAAATATAAAATAAATGTTAATTTTTTTCTTTGCTTAATTTCTTTAGACTTAAGTCACCATTATTGGATTTTGTTGAATAATATCAAACAATTTAAAAACTGAATTCATCTTAGTATAAAATTTATAATTTGTAAATTGTAATATTTTATTACTAATTATTATTTTATATATTAAAATGCGGGCTAGTCGCAAGTGAGTAACGTTTTACTGTATATAATGTCAAGTGGGTGACTATAAATATTATTATGCATTGTTTGAAAGAACGCGTTTAATTTTACGTGAACTAACCATGAACGCGTTCACTGTTTTATGGAACCTTCTAAACATTGCTATAATGTATATTGTGTTCAATTTGAATTCAGTGGTATATCATTGTATTAAAAATGTGATTTTTAGCGGAAACGGTATTTTACTCTAGTCTTTTATATTACCATCAATAATTTATTTAAGTATTAGTACAATGATGGGTTAAATTGTTTTAATTTTTTATTTAAATATATTCATTCAATACTGTTTGGAATTTAGATGAGTAACATATCTTCAATTAAAAATAACAAGCGTAGTGGTGATGACGATAGTAATGAATACCCTGTGAAATTAAAACGTAGTTCTAGATAGGCAAGAAAAAAAGAAACTGATAAAGAAAAATTAAAAGCTATTGCTCACGACAAAAATTAACAAAAATTAAATTTTAGATTTATACCTAGCACGCGGCCATCTATTGAAGTTGCATTGCATTTTGACACAGTAACATCAATTACTAATAATGAATCAACACAAAATTCATTAATAAATATGTAACCATCAATTTCTTAACCATCGTTCAGTTATATTATAAAAAAATATGATAACTATAGTTATTCAGTTACTAACATAATTAATATCCCAAAAGATGAAATGCTCAATTAATGAATTTTTATAAGATCTTAACGTTAATATACAGCCTTCCATTCCTTCATCAATTGAATTTGATAAAAGTAATATAGTTGATTTTGGAAATGATATAGTTTATAATGATTCTCTACATGAAGATGAAGTAGCACAGAGTTCGGAATCAGACTTAGATGATAACTTTCTGATAGACATATCTTCGAATTTTAAAGCACTTTCTCATAAATCTTCGTTGACTGAAAAACTACGTTTTATGTCATATCATCCCATACAGCCATACAGCTCTGAATATTATAAACAACTTATTAAAGTTTGAAACTGTAATGATAGCGTATGTGTACCAGTCACTGTTCGTTTTAAGTTCAACTGCATCATCTTGCATACAATCGAAAAAATTAAATTATACCCAAGTATATAAACTGTTGCATAATTTAAAAGAAAAATTAATCGAAGGAGTTAATAATTTTGAAATTATTTTTATAAGAACTACTGAATTTATTGAATATTTACAAACGATTTTGGAAAAAATGGATGGAACAGATAACATATTTTGGTCAAGTACTTTTACGAAAAAAAAAAAACGTTTTAAAAAGAAAATATCAGGTGAATTGATAGCAGACGAAAAACTAGTTGATGAAAAGAAATGGTTTGAAGTTGAAGTTTATAAAGATCTTTATAACAACGTACTCGCTAAATTAAGCAATAGGTATGTTTTAGTATAATTATATTTTGAAAATATTAGTTTTGTTAATTTTTTACTGTTATAGATATATCAATATTTTTTAGTAACATACTTCTTTTGCTTGTTCAGGTATATGATCAATGAGGATGTAATTCAAAATGCTGCATTTTTTTATCCAAGAACATTTTCACAATTAAAAACTCCCGGATTCATGTTTCCAGAAGGATCATTGTCCAAAATCGCATCCATGGCCAATGTCGATGTTTTAGATATTCAATGTCAGTTGATAGAATTTGCTCAAAATTACGAGGCCATAGCAAATATAGATGCTAGTATTCTGTATCAAGATTGTAACGATGAATTTTTCAAAGAAGAAAATGAAAACCACACAGATATGGAAGATGATTTAAAATGTGCATTATTCGAAAAAAATCGTTGTAAATCGTGCATTTCATGTGCATTCCCATATGTATACACATTAGTGACTCATACACCAAATTACAATGATTATATACGGTATAAAAGGTAATATTAAGTTTAGCTTTTACTCAAGTAAGTTGCGAAAAGAGTTTTTCAATACTTAAAACTATAAAAACTAGACTTAGGTCAACTCTTTCTAACGACAAATTAGAAGCATTCATGTTTATGAACCTTGAACGTGGCTTGAATGTACCTCATGATATTATAATTGATCGATTAGGTGCCACTTCCACTGAAATGAAAAGGATGCTTATTGGGTAATTTTTATACTTGCAAGAATGTTCAGTTATGTTTCAAATTTAGTGTAAATAAATATATTATTACCAGAATTGTACTTGTATATTTTATTTTTATTTGTTGCAATTATTTATTTAAGAATAATCATTATACTGACAAAAATATTTATAGATATGCATTAAATATTTGTTGTATGATGTGATTCTTTTAAATCTTGATTTGCTGTCTACATAGCAGATAGTTTGTAGTCTGTTCGTGGGCTAGGCCGTGCTACAGTAAAATCACAAACATTTATAGCCAGTCTTTTAATATTATCATATTTATGTAAGGTAATAACTAATAATCAAAAATTACTGTGATAACTTATAAACAAACATGATAATTGAATAGTAATTCGATAAAAAAAAAATTGACATTATTATGATTATTAATTTTCTGTAAAAAATGGCCCTAAGTATTGAAATCGCTGACTGGCCTGTCGAATACCCAGTCCGCCCCTGACTGAGCACATCTATTACCGTATACCGTGTGTTATACGATATTCATTATCCGTTATTAAGTTGTTTATTAAAATCAGTGACGACTAGTGATGTGTAATGTGTAATTATTTGTATATAGAAAAGCTATTCTTCAATTCCATCTTTATTCGCATTAAACATCACGTGTTTCCACTGATTTTAATTAACGACTTAATGATGGATAAAGAATATCGAATAGTACAAAGTATACCTTAGTAGATATGCTCAGTAAGTTAATTTCGTACACTATCAAGAACTATAATATTATGTTAGATTACAAACAAAGTTGTAAGGTTTATTTCATCGTAAAAGTTGAATGAATACTATTTCCATAAAAAATATAAAAATAAATTGATAAATTAATACAGGGACTGGAAATGAATTTTCTTGTCCAATATGTTTGAAATGCCAATTGACCACTCGAAATATGTGTGAAT